ACCTGCACCTGATATTTGTATTAAAACAAAAACCAAACAAAGCAAAATTCACTGCCATTGGCCATTTTTTAGGGTGACATATTGGTCTACTGATCACAAGTTCAACTGATCAGCGGTTCAAAACCACCAGGTGCTCCACTGGAGAAAGATGAAGTTTTTGCTACTGTAAGGATTTATACCAAGCAACGCAAAGAGGAAGTTCTACTTTGTCCTATAGGGTAACTATGGGGTAATATGTGTATAAGAAATTAAAATTTATTTGTTTCTGAAATAAAGTACTTACGTGGTAAGATAAGGCAGTGATATAAATTTCGACCTTCGCTCTATGTCCATTCAGCTATCTGTCTATCTATCTGTCTATCTATCTATCTATCTATCTATCTATCTATCTATCTATCTATCTATCTATCTATCTATCTACCTACCTACCCTCCTACCCTCCTACCTACCTATCTACCTATAATCCATCTAGAACTCTTCAGATGATATAAATGGTTATTGGTACTAGCAAAAAGCTGCTGATTTATGTCCACCCAGAGTGACCTGGGACCAAAGGGCTGGTGCTCTACTTCCAAATGATCAGTCAATGAAAACACTGTAAACATGCTGCTACTCTTAAAAACATAAGGTCACTATGAATCAGAATGGATTCAATGACAAATGGTGTGTTGTTGGTTTTTAATCTATTTATCTATGTAGCATGGTAGGTTAATCTGAGGTTTATTTTATGAAAGATTATTCACTGTATTATGAGGGACATTTTTAAAGTTCATAGAGAAATTCTGTTACATTTTAATTCTATTTTCCAACAAAATTTTGAAGTTGATTTATATAGGCTGACAATGGTATACTAACTGTCTGCTTATGCTTGTGCTCTGGTCTGCATCTTGACTGTCCCCTTGAATCCTCTCCGCTGAAGTTATGTTTCCCTTTTCAGGACACAGTTTACAATCTACCCTTCCACAAAGATAACCTCTATCACTATAGGGACCTGTTCCATTTCTGTGTAAAACAGTACCTATTGTATGTTATATAGAGCACTCTCTATTATACTTTATTCATTTAACAGTTTGTCAGGTAAAGACATATGTTGGACAATACATTTCCCCACTACATTACAAGGTTCCATTGGGACTAATTTTGCATACTATTTCTGCATACTCAATCTATGGAAGATGCCTATAATATATTTATTAAATAAAGAAAATGATTCCATTGTAAATATATCATTTAAAATATATAATTGGCACTCTAATTGCAGTTAATGGGGAAACTGCATGATGATTAAGCTTCCACAAACTTTTTGAAAATTCACAGGTCTGCAATCATACACCTGAGAAAATGATATGCTTTGCCTCGTCCATTCCAATGTGCTAACACTGCATTCTAAATGTCTTTAAATATTGAAACCTTCTAAAAAGTAAGTGAATTACTTTGGGATTCAGATCCCAAGACTAGGTGTCCTGATTCACAAGAGTGTGACAGGAGAGCTGGGGATGGTTGTTTATAAATACATAGGCTTTTGCACCTCCAGAGATGAGAAACCCTTGAGGACTCCTAGCCGGGATATTTGTAGACGTCAATACTTGGATTGAGAGTGCAAGTCACCGAACCATCTAAACCTGTTCCTGACGGCTTTTGTTGGTTAGGCAGCTCAAGAAGAATGGATGATTAATCTATCTTTATGCCAAAAGTGACAGGTCAGCAGAGAGAAGAACTAATCATCTAAACTCTCCAGGAGAGAGTAAGGTGAGTTTCAGAGTGATGATGTTCATGTTGTCTGGCTATGAAAGCATTTTCTAAAATCAGCTCCTGATTATCCACATGAAATCGCGAGTTTGTACGTATTTCACAGCTCCTGAGTCACAGAAGGAAGGATGAAGGTCTCTGAGATTCTGATGTGCATTGCTCATTCACATTACCTCTGTAACCTAATAACTAGTCTGTGACTTCCTAATCATTAGCTTTTAAAATAAGAATCAGAATACTACAAATATATTGATGCAGAAACCTCGTAGAACACAAAGTATACTTACACATATGGCTACATTTCATTTGCACAGCAATCATTTAAAGTTTTTATAAAAAACAAAGTTAACTATGAAGGTCAGATAGGCTCAGTGAGTCAAATGTTGCATTTGCTTGTTAGAGCTGTCGATCCTGTAAGTTAGGGTCCAGTGCTTCTTTATCGAATCTGTGCTAATGGTTTCCTCTTTTTAAAAAGGGACGACTATAATTTAATAATTAAGTTATATTGGAAAAAATAGATTCTTGCACTGTGTTGTCCAATATAACAGCCACTAACCACTACCAAAAGTTTCTAAGAAGCACTTGAAAGATGACTAGTGTGATTTGAGATATGCTGTAAGTATAAGATAGTCTGAATTATACAGATTTGTACAAAAAGTCTCATTAAAATGTAATATTTTGAATATATTCTGTTAAATAAGATATATTGCAAAAGTTGATAGCATTTGTTTTAAATAAAAATGGATTTCCAGAAGATTTTAGATTACATATATAACTACGTTATATTTCTACTGTGGAGTGGTACTCTAGATGCTATTTTGCAAAATATTTTTACTAGTTATATCTTCCTAACACTCTGTGGCACTTTGAAATGGTTAAGAGCACCTTCTCATACTTTTGAATTGCCAAAAATATGTGAGATTGAGTCGTGCCTGATTCAATTTGGTAGATTAGTTTGGAAAGTTGTCAGAATTACGCCATAATACCCTCTTATATCTAGCTAGTGAACTGTGCTATTTAATAGATAGCTAAACAGAGAAGATACTGGTACTGCTGTTCCTTTGTATGAAATTAAAACATAGTATGCATGATATATCTTTCTGCATAAAAATACAATTTATTGTAGTTCTCAGTTCCCACAAGGTGATAAGATAATGAAATACATATTCATATACCTAAAACGACCTTTCTCAATAAGATGATTTCAGATACTGGCTTTACTTGATTATGAATGTTGTCTGGCTCATAGGGGAAAAAAAAGAGTGAGATTCAGAGGAGGAAACAAAAAATAAGAAACATATTTTCAGCTGTAGGAAGGAGTTATCCAAAGTAGCAATTCTCAACTTTTAATGTGACCAGGAATCATGTGGGGATATTGTTAAAATGCAGGTTCTGATTAGAACCTGTGTTGATCTCAGGTGGTGCTGATAATATTGGCACATGGACTACACTTTGAATAGCAAGAATATAAAATGGACATGGATGAGTAGCTAGGAAATACAGGAAAGAATAACCTATCTATAGGAAAATTAGATAGATGATAAAACAAAACAGAAAAACAAGTCAGTGTCTCTGGGAGAACCAGAACAAATTAAGGACACATTCAAATAAAACGTTTTTTTTAGTATATGACTCTTCTTGCACATTTCATTGATATTTCTCTTTGTGCAGTCTCTGTGCATGATAATTGGTGATGAATTGAGGAAGTAAAACTCCAGGGTGTTGCAGTAAGAGGCGAAAGGCAATTGGATAGACTCTATTCTGCATATACGCCTACTTTCTTTGCTGCTCAGGATAAGTTAAGAAGACACAAAAGACCTAAGTTCTGTAGAAATTCAAAACCTGTTCAAGCAACAGCCACTTAATGTCATGAAGTTCCATTGTGTTGAACTGAGTGAGGGCTTTGGAAATTCAGGAGGAAGCATCCACACCTTTGGGAAGTCAAGTGGCCAAGAGAAATGTGCTCAGCCGAAGACTGGAGTCACAGATTGGGGCCAAGAAGACAGTGGCGACTTGAGTAGCCGCAGAAAGACATAGGCCCTGGGTTGGACAAGTTGAGAAAATACTAAACCAGATTTCTGCACAGAGCTCTGCACAGTCTGCAGGCAATCTGGGAATTGAGAGAAGGTTCTTTGTGCAGCCCAATATTACATGAAAAATTGTCAGGGATTTTAGAGCTAAGACTTTGGTTGCATCCAAGACGGGCAACTTGGAACTATACACTTTATTTGCCTTGGTGGTTCTCTCAGGTAAGCATTTGATTGCAAGGTCAGCAGTTCAAACCCACTAGGGGCTCCATCAGAGAACGTTGAGGCTATCTGTTCCCATAAAGATGTACAATTTGATGGCACTGGGCTTGGTTTCTTGACTTGAGGAGCATTGTGGGTAGAGGACATAATGGACTGCCAACTGATATATGTCTTGGTCACTGACTTTGTCAAACGGGACAGAAGTGGTAGTATGTTTCCTAGAGTTCCGTTATGAAGGCATACAATGGGCTGGGTGGGAAAGGCAGACAGTGTAGGACAGTGATTCTCAACCTGTGGGTCACGACCCCTTTGGGGGTCAGATGACCCATTCACAGGGGTCGCCCAAATCATAACAGCAGCAAATGACAGTTATGAAGTAGCAACATAAATAATTTTAAGGTTGGGGGTCACCACCACATGAGGAATTGTACTCAAGAGTCCCGGCATTAGGAGGGTGGAGAACCACTGGTGGAGAAGATACCCAGGGATTCTGAGGCAATCAATCTGGGAGAGCTACCATTTGCCACATTCTACGTCTCTGAAGAAGTGTTAGAATAATGAGCCCATGCATCAATCCATGGTTAAAGTTTTAAAAACAGAACAGGCTCCAAAAGCAAAATATGGTTTTGTAAATTATGCCTTTAGTTACATGAGTGCTACAATACGCTTAGAAGAAAAGGGTTCCAATATAAAATAATTTGGGGAAATATAATGGAAGATTCCAAGATATTCTTCCGTTAAGAGACCTGGTTGTATAACTCAGCTTTCTGAATGTGACCCAGATGACCCTGGGGTGCTTATTTCATGTATCCCCTATTAATCCCCTCCCCACCACCAAGAAAAAGGCAGAGTGTTTTTGTCACAAGGACAAGGGGAACCTGTGCTTAGAGTTTCCAGCAATTAACCTGGATAGAAAAACCCAGGATGTGGGGAATTTGAAGCAAATTAATATTTTGTCTGACTAATTTGACTTTTTTACTAACTTCTTTACAGATTTCCCAGAGGAGAATGGGTAAAAACCACTCAACAGTGTCTGAGTTTTTTCTTTCAGGATTAACGGATCAACCAGAGCTTCAACTACCCCTTTCCTGTCTCTTTTTAGGGATCTACATGGTTACTTTGGTGGGAAACCTTGGCATGATCTCAATAATTGGGTTGAATTCTCAACTTCACACCCCCATGTATTATTTTCTCAGTAGTCTGTCTTTTTTAGATGTCTGCTATTCTTCTGTCATTACTCCCAAAATGCTGGCAGGTTTTTTATGCAGAGATAGATCTATTTCCTATTCTGGATGCATGACTCAGCTGTTTTTTTTCTGTATTTTTGTCATTTCCGAATGCTATCTGTTGGCAGCAATGGCCTATGATCGCTATGTAGCCATCTGTAGCCCACTGCTTTATAATGTCATAATGACCCCTTGGGTCTGCTCTCTGCTGGTGGCTGCCGTCTTCTCCATAGGTTTTATTGACGCTGTTATTCACACAGGCTGTATATTAAGATTGTCTTTTTGTGACTCCAACATCATTAGACATTATTTCTGTGACATTGTCCCTCTTATTACACTCTCATGTTCCAGCACTAATATTGATAAACTTTTGATTTTTGTCATTGGTGGATTTAACATGGTGGCCACCAGCCTCACAATCATAATTTCATATGCTTTCATTCTCTCCAGCATCCTTCGCATCCGCTCTAAAGAAGGCAGGTCCAAAGCCTTTAGCACCTGCAGTTCCCACCTGACAGCTGTTGTAATATTTTATGGGTCCCTCATGTCCATGTATCTGAAACCTGCTTCTAGCAGTTCACTTATTCAGGAGAAGGTGTCCTCAGTGTTTTATACTACTGTGATTCCCATGTTGAATCCTTTAATATATAGTCTGAGGAACACACAAGTGAAAAACACACTGGCAAAATGCTTCCAAAGAAAAATAACTTCATAATGAATACGCTTCTTCTTAAGATTTATTTGTGCATCTATAATAATTATTTATATATTTATGATCAAATGCTTTATATATGTGTTTAGACGTTGCCTCTTTTAAAGTAAGTTAAAGTGAATTGTGTATATGTGTGCATACGTATTATACATATATATGCGTGTGTATGTAACTTATTGCTTTTGAGTCAATCGGGACTCATGGTGACCCTATGTGGTTCTGAGCAGAACTATGTTTCATAGAGTTTTCTATGCCTGTAATCTTCTGTAGCAGTGCTGGGTAAATTAAAACCAGCACAGTGTATTAGGGGAAAATTAGGTTATGGTAATGAAGAAAATGGATTTTATTCAACATATACAACAGAAGGGAAAAATAGATGTGGGCTATGAAGGACAAGTGATCTGAACAACGTCTGCATTGGACTGAAGAACATTGCAAAGTGAACAGTGTGTATGAGATTGTACAATGTAGTGAAAGTGTTTCCTTCTCATGGGTTTTCTAAAAACAGATGACTCCATGGGGTTGTTTTTCAAATGATTATTGGTACTAGTTTACAGTAACAACAATCATGGGTGTTTAAGGTGATCCAACAACTGTTCACCAAATACCAAAGGACGAAAGCAATGGTTTATTTAAATGTCTTTTTTGTTGTCAGAAGGATATGTCCAGGCAAATTCCTTGGTCCTTTATGTAAGCATTACTTAATCTACACTTCCTGAGGACAAGCTGTCTCTCCTGGGTTTACCCAATTTGTAAACATGACATTTCTTGATATTAGTGAAATTCCAATTACATTCTTTGTGTACTTTTTAAGACTTGTCAAAGCATGGCAACTTGGAGACTTAATGGTTAGAAACATTGGAGCAGAAACATAGGGAAATCAAAATGGTATCGAATTTATGTACAGGCTTAAAATGGAGTTAAAGTTCTCACTGTAGGCCTTTAGATTTTAGACTATAATGTTATATGTGTGTGTTTGTGTATGCATGTGTGTATTAAAGATGAGTATAATATAGCTGCATAATTCTCTGTGTATAATCTATATCTACATCTGCATCTGTCTCTGATTCATAGGGTTTTATGAATAAGAGTTGACTCTATGACAGTGGGTTATACATGTTGTTTGAGTCTTGATGCTTCAACAGAGGAGTCCTGCTAGTGCAGTGCAGTGTTGGGCTGCTACCAGTAAGGTCAGATGTTTCAAGCCACCAGCCTCTCTGAAGGAGAGAGACAAGGCTTTCTACACCAATAAAGAATTACAGTCTTGGAAACTCATAGAGGGAGGTCTACCCTGTCCTTTAGGGTTGCTGTGAGTCAGAATCAACCCAATGACATTGAGTTTGAGAGCTTAAGCAAGAACCTTAGTGATGCTATGGATTGAATCTCAGGCTGCTAACCTGTCAGTACCTCAAGCACATCAGCTGTTACATGGGAGAAAGGTAAAGCTGTCTGGTTCATAAATATCAGCAATCTAGGTAACACTAAATTGGAATCCACTATGAATTGGAATCCACTATGAATTGGAACCAACTTGATAACAATGGGATATATATAATATTCATATTCACATATAATACTAATGTCTTAGGCTGCGTTGACTAATGAGGCAAATCCAGAGACACTCATATATGTACAAGAAAGAACTTTATATCAAGAAGTAAATAAAAACCGGGAGAAAAAAAAAATCCCAGTCCAGTCCAACTCAAGTCCATAAGTCTGATACTAGTGTTCAAGTCCTTCTTCAGACTCATGCAGTCACATGCAAGGATGCAGAATGCAGGAAGGTCATAGGCCAGTGGGTCAAAGTCATGCGGATCCAATGGCAGTGGAAGTGTTTGGTCTCAGAGTGGTTCACCAGCAGGAAAGTGAAGGCAGAGAGAAAGAGAGGAGGCTCCCAGGGCCCTTCTTAGGAGATTGCCATGGCAACAAGGAGGCACCATCAAGTTAGGATCTGATTGACAGGTTGAATACCACCTCTGCACTTTTATATATCTTCAAGTTTTCATGAAACTAAGTATCTACCACAATTAATAAAGCATATGAAAGTGTGAGGAGTAAGAAATACATAAACTTTAAAGTTAGATAGCAATGTTGAGTTAGATATCAATGTTTTATTATTAGTTTCATGACTCCAAGCCATTAAAAAAAACCCAAATCATAAACAAATATGTTTCTGGGAATAACGGTCTAAGATTGCCTGCCACTATTTCAGCCAAAGATAGAGATCAGGTTGATTCAAGAAGCTCTAAGTTAATTCTACAAGCATGAAACAGAAGGAAACAATGGGGGTTGCTACTCCCGAACTGCTTTGAAATTCCAGCAAAAATCAAGCAAGTTACATACCCCAAGCTATGGTACAAAGAGCAGGTTTTGCAATGATCACAGGAAACAATTATCTATACATATATTTTCCCCAGGGATTACATTTATCATGAGTTTAACATATACCAGATCACCAACCCTCAAAGCCCCACACGTCACTGTTTAGTTCATGTCTGGCTACCTCTTTTATTTATTTATTTATTTTTGAAAGGCAGATCATGTATAATTTAATCAGGTCTCCCAAGGAATTTTATGGTGTTTCTAATGCTCATTATCCTCATAATTTTCTTTAAAAAAAATCATTTTATTGGGGCTCCTACAACACTTATCCCAATCCATACATCCATCTATTGTGTCAAGCACATTTGTACATTTGTTGCCATCATCATTCTCAAAACATTTGCCCTCCACTCAAGCCCCTGGTATCAGCTCCTCATTTCCCCCCCTCCCCACCCAGGTCCCCCTCCCTAATGGACCCTTGGTAATTTATAAATTACTATTATTTTGTAACTGTCACACTGTCCGACATCTCTCTTCACCCACTTCTCTGATGTCCACCCCCCGGTGAGGAGATTATATGTAGATCCTTGTAATCAGTTCCCCGTTTCCACCCCACACTCCCTTCACCCTCCGAGTATCACCACTCCCAGCACTAGTCCTGATGGGATCATCTGTCCTGAATTCCCTGTGTTTTCAGGTCCTATCTGTACCCGTGTACATTCTCGAGTCTAGCCAGATTTGTAAGGTAGAATTGGGATCATGATATTAGCGGTGGGGGGTGGGGGGTGGAGGAACCATTTAGGAACTAGAGGAAATTTGTAGGTTTCATCGTTGCTACACTGCAAGCTGACTGACTCGTCTCCTCCCCACCACCCTTCTGTAAGGGGATGTCCAGTTGCCTACAGATGGGTCTTGGGTCCCCAACCTGCACTCCCCCTCATTCACAATGATATGATTTTTTCTTTGATCCCTTCGACAACTCGTGGTCACACAGGCTGGTGTGCTTCTTCCATGTGAGCTTTGTTGCTTCTGCGCTAGATGGCCGCTTGTTTACCTTCAAGCCTTTAAGACCCCCAGACACTATATCTTTTGATAGCCAGGCACCATCAGCTTTCTTCACCACACTTGCTCATGCACCCATTTGCCCTCAGTGATCTTATCGGGAAGGTGAGCACACAATGATATGAATGATATGATTTTTTTGTTCTTTGATGCCTGATAACTGATCCTTTCAGCACATCATGATCACACGGGCTGCTGTGCTTGTTCCTTGGGGGCTCTGTTGCTGCCTGGCTGCCCCCTTTAATGGGCTTGCTTAGCACCTTCCTGCCTTAGATTGCCATCCCTACTGATAAAGTTTAAAAGGAATCTTTAGTGCAAGGGAAAAGGATATTGTTATATTTTGGATTACCAACATATTAAATCTCAACTTATGTTGTATTTTTGGTATTTTTATTTAATATGGGACTGTTTCACTTTCTCTAACATATTCTCAGTCTAAAAAACAAACCAAAAATATAGCTCTGGTGTTTAGTCTGACATACCTCAATCATGTGTCAGTCCATTTCTTATCTCTACTTTTTCTTTTCTGCATATGCTGAAGACAATTATGTTTTCCTCACAAAAAACCAAACCAAGTGATATAGCTATTATGGCAATATGTATAAAAATGTCAAGCAGTGTACTATAATCATCACAACAATTTTACATTAAATAAGGAATAAATTTTCATTCTCTTTCTTGTAAATGACTCATTTTAGGCAAGTTATATTAAACTTTATATTAATATTTAGGCAAATGTTATATTAAAGTAGAAATCACTGAAGAAAATTCAGCAAGTTGATAAGCAAATATAGTCCCTGTGTTTGCTATCTGGTGAACCAAGGGTAAGACTTAGAAAATCTACATGAGGTGATGAGGTTTAAACAAGTTCATCTAAGTATTTTTACTTCTAGCTTGTTGTGCTAATGCTCTCCTCCAACCGCATGATATGTCTTTGTCTTGTATTATTCTATTTCAGTCGTAATAAAGTTCTCCTTAAATTATATTTAAGATTTGGGGTCTCTTTTTTACCCTAAAACAGTACAAGAAATGCTATTGCTCAATTTAAATTTTAAAATGGTAGATTGATTTAATCTGTTATATGTTTCAAGAAATCCTATTTATTGTTTAAAAATTAGGTGTGTATGTGTGTTTTGTGGTATTTGGGTTGGGGAAAGCATAACTCTTTTTTTTTTTTAATTTTTTTACATTTTATTAGGGGCTCATACAACTGTTATCCCAATCCATGCACACATCAATTGTGTAAAGCGCATTTGTACATCGTTTCTCAAAACATTTTCTCTCCATTGAAACCCCCGACATTAGGTCCTCATTTTTGCCCTCCCTCCCTGCTTCCCCCTCCCGCATGAGCCCCTGATAGTTTATAAATGGGTATTTTGTCATATCTTGCCCTGTCCGACGTCTCCCTTCATCCACTTTTCGGTTGTCTGTCCCCCAGGGAGGAGGTCACACACAGTTCCATGTAATCGGTTCCCTCCTTCCTACCCATTCTCCCTTTACCGTCCCTGTTTCGCCACTCACACCACTGGTCCTATAGGGCTCATCCGTCCCGGATTCCTTGTATTTCCAGTTCCCATCTATACCAGTGTACCTCCGCTGGTCTAGCCAGTCCTGCGAGA